AGCAAGACCTACCAGTGGCACCTTTCAACCACCCACATAGACAGAAGAAATAAAGAGAAAAAATGAAGCAAGACCTACCAGTGGCACCTTTCAACCACCCACATAGACAGAAGAAATAAAGAGAAAAAATGAAGCAAGACCTACCAGTGGCACCTTTCAACCACCCACATAGACAGAAGCAATAAAGAGAAAGAAAGAGGTAAGACCCACAGATGTTTCAATACAAAAATGTCAACGTTTTTTGCATGAATAACTTTTGGTTCCATTTTCGCAGAGACTTGATATTTCCAATACATATATTACGTGTACTATGACAATCGTGATTAGTCTTTCCAGCAATATTTTCCTCAACGTTCTAGACAGGTTGATGAGAGAGGGCGCTTCTCCCAGACACGGGTGTACATTTTCTGCCTGTCCATCTGAGGTGGAAAAGAAACATATTCTGTACTGTGCAGTTGTATTTTGTTGTAGTTTTTATTTTACTTTGTTAGGTTCACAAGCAAAGCTCCCTTGTAAACAAAATGATAATAATTTTTTAGAAATTTCCAAAACCCAACAATTTTGTACAAGCAGTAGATCAAGATCTTTACTATTCTTTACATGTATAGGAAGAGAAGAACAAACATCTTCTGCCGTAAAAGTTCAAAGTGTGAGGACACATCATCCCAGAAACAGCACAAACCAAACGGTAACACAGATATATATAGCTCTATCACAAGAGCTTTTCTTTATTTACTGTTAGAAATACTGGACCATCGTAGAGATCAGGGGTGAGCCAACTTTTCTGACCAGAGGCCACTTGAACTCCTCCAGAAACAACAGAAGGCCGCACTATTTACCACTGGGCAGAACGTGCTAGACAGGTCAGACTTGTTTTTATTAAGGCAATACAAAATTAATATGAACTGCATTGCTATAATAAAATGATTAAATTCAGGAAACAAAATATTTTCTTTTCAATTTCTGATTCACTGAGAAAGCAAGTCTTGGCTCTAGTTCTTTGGCAAATGAGATCATTTAATTTTTGCAAAAATTTATGGATTTTCATTGTTTTGAAAACTCATCCAATATTTGTGCTGGTGGCAGACAACACTGCATGGGGAGGCCTTTGGTCTCTGAGCGGTCGTCTGTCCACCCCTGGTACACATGAGGTGAAGTCTCCCTCAAACTTCATGTACAGACCACATGATGTTTATAAAGACAAACAAACAGAGGGCTGATATGACAAGTCAGATCTTTTCCTAAGTAAAACATTCTTAAGTGAGTGTCTGACGCCCTCATCAACACTGTAGGTCCCCTCCTGTAGGAGCCGGCAGCTTCAACATTTTCGTCTGTCAGGACATCCCGGCCCGGGCTGAGTGGTCAGGACATCCCGGCCCGGGCTGAGTGGTCAGGACATCCCGCCCCGGGCTGAGTGGTCAGGACATGCCGGCCCGGGCTGAGTGGTCAGGACATGCTGGCCCGGGCTGAGTGGTCAGGACATGCTGGCCCGGGCTGAGTGGTCAGGACATCCCAGCCTGGGCTGAGTGGTCAGGACATCCCAGACTGGGCTGAGTGGTCAGGACATCCCAGCCTGGGCTGAGTGGTCAGGACATCCCGGCCCGGGCTGAGTGGGCTACAACCTCCCAACAGACAAACAGACAAGCAGACAAACAGACAGACTAATAAAAAAAACTTCCCAACTCGGGAATCCTACTCATGTCTTCTGTGCAACAATGACGAGCACTGCACCCCAGCCTTACCACTGCACCCCAGCCTTACCACTGCACGCCAGACGCCGGTGAGGTGAGATTGGTTGAGTACAGAGCACGTATATATGTATGTATATATATATACCCCTATAGAGTCACATCACAGGCACTGTTGTGAGATCACTTGGCCATGACAGGGCATGGAAGGAGATTGTTAGTTATGTAACAGAACACTAAACATTCATGTAACAGAACACTAAACATTGATGTAACAGAACACTAAACATTGATGTAACAGAACACTAAACATTGATGTAACAGAACACTAAACATTCATGTAACAGAACACTAAACATTGATGTAACAGAACACTAAACATTCATGTAACAGAACACTAAACATTGA